AAGATGAAGATGAAGATGAAGATGAAGATGAAGATGAAGATGAAGATGAAGATGAAGATGAAGATGAAGATGAAGATGAAGATGAAGATGAAGATGGAGATGAAAATGAACATGAACATTAACATGAAAATGAACATGAACATGAGCATGAACTTGAACATGAACATGAAGGCGTAGATAAACATAAACATAAACATAAAAAAGCGATAGCGACAAAGATAGAGAGGAAGAAAATGATAGGGATAAAAAGGAAATACAACTGAAGAATGTGCGATGTTATATTGTGATGTGTTATGCTACATATGTTATGTTATTGAATCTAATGCTATTCTATGTTATGTTATGCTAAGTACTAAGCTAAACTCCCCTCCACTTAACCCATTCCAACAAATTTTATTTCAGCTCAACTCAACTCACATAAACTATCCTTAATTTTAGCGGTTGAATTTCAACCGCTGGGCGAACACTAGTTAAAAAAAAAAAACGCATTACGCACTTATTTTAAAACTAAAAAAATTTTTAACTACAATCAACTACAAAGGACCCTAGACCAGAATTCAACAAAATTAAAGCTGTAGCTGTAAAAAAACTTCATAAAAATAAAAACAAACGCATTATGCACATATTTTTCAACTAAAAAAATAAATTTTAGCTACAATCAACTACAAACGATTCTGGACCAGAATTCCTTAAAATTAAAGATGAAGCAGTAAAAAAGTTGATATAAGTAAAAAAAATACGCATTACGCACTTAATTTTCAACTAAAAAAATAAAGTCTACAATCAACTACAAACGATTCTGGACCAGAATTCATTAATATTAAAGCTTTAGCTGTAAAAAACTTCACAATTAAAAAAAAAAAATAAAACTGCAATCAACTACAAACGATTCTCTACCAGAATTCGTTAAATTGAAAGATGAAGCTGTAAAAAAATTCATATAAATTAAATAAAAAAACGCATTATGCACTTACATTTAAACTAAAAAAGCATGTGAAACTACAATCAACTGGAAACGATTCTAGACCAAAATTCATTAAATCTAAAGCTGTAGCTGTAAAACACTTCATATAAATTAAAAGAAACGGGTTATGCACTTAATTTTCAACTAAAAAAAAAATAAAACTACATTCAACTAGAAACGATTCATGACAAGAATTCATTAAAATTAAAGTTGTAGCTGTAAAAAACTTCATATACATTAAAAAAACGCATTGTGCACTTAATTTTCAAATAAAAAAAAATTAAAACTACAATCAACTACAAACGATTCTAGACCAGAATTCATTAAAATTAAAGCTGCAGCTGTAAAAAACTTCATATAGATAAAAAAAGGCATTATGCACTTATTTTTCCATTAAAAAATATTAGTTTAAACTATAATCAACTACAAGCGATTCTAGACCAGAATTCATTAAAATTAAAGCTGTAGCTGTAAAAACCTTCATACAAATTAAAAAAAAAACTACAATCAACTACAAATAATTCTAAACAGAATTCATTGAAATTAAAGCTGTAGCTGTAAAAAACTTCATTTAAGTTTAAAAAAAAACGAATTACGCATTTATTTTTCAACTAAAATAAATTTTTTTAAACTTCAATCAACTACAAACGATTCTAGACCAGAATTTATCAAAATTAAAGCTTTAGCTGTAAAAAACTTCATATAAATTTAAAACTAAAACGCATTACGCACTTATTTTTCAATAAAAAAAATTTAAACTATAATCAACTACAAACGATTCTTGACCAGAATTCATTAAAATGAAAGCTTTAGCTGTAAAAAACTTCATACAAATTTAAAAATAAAACGCATTACGCACTTATTTTTCAAATAAAAATAATGTTAAAGCTATAATCAACTACAAATGATTCTGGACCAGCATTCATTAAAACTAAAGCTGTAGCTGTAAAAACCTTATGCACTTATATTTCAACTAAAAAAATTTTTAAAACTACAATCAACTACAAATGATTCTGGACCATTCATTCATTAAAACACAGACGGCTTTCTTGCCGCCCCGCAAAAGTTTTCGATTACGTGGTTTTTCCGGGCTATAAACTGTAAATATTTGAATATATCAATATCAAGTTTTTCAATGACTCTTTGATCGGTTTGTGCCAGAAAAGTGTTGTTTTATACAAAAAAACTTTGAAAAATCGCATAAACAAAAATCTTGTTTTGCTGACGCTGTTTCTTTTTTCCGCCTTTTCGTCTACTGCCGCCTTCGACGCTTCTACTGTTCTACCGCAGTTACGCTCTACACCGATTTGTGTTTTATTGCTTCTCCCGCGCTATTGTTTGAACTTTGTACTAAGAGCAGATCATGTCAACTCGCGCCAGAACAAATCGCCTCACAGCCACAACCTTGGGTGCTAATCCAACAACGCATCATAATTTCAGTAAAGGTGAGAACTCGCCTAATGCTGCGTGGGTTTCGCAATTGGAGGCGAGAATTGTGAGCAGTGTTGCCAGAACTTTTCAGGACGACCGGCTAGATTGGACAAAAAAACGGCTAAAAACGGCTAAAATGTTTCAACCAGAATTAAATTTTTTTTCAAATACATAAACTACAATTAGAAAGACTAGTAAATCCATTAAATTTTTTTTGGTTAATAAAGATTATTTATGCGTAGCTAAGCTGTACACCAATTTATTTTTCTTTAACAAAGGAAACTGTCGTTATACGTAGCTAAGCTTTACATCAGAAGTCATGTTTGTATTACTTAAATATAAAAACAGAGATAAATTACAAACTTATGGCGTTTTCTTTTCTATTAAACAATTTTGCCTTCTTATAAATATTGGATCATTTTCAGTAGGTTGCTTTTTGCTGAGAGTATGGCACTTTTGATTAGTCGGAGGGCAATATTTTGAGAAATGAACACGTAAAGCTGTGAAAGCAGAAGGTAGTTTAATTTATTGACATTCGTTGTTGTTGCCGACCACTTCACTTTTAACAAGTTTATGACATTTAACTAAAATCATGCCACCAGATTCACTAGCAGAAAAATTTTTGGTTCTTAAAAAAGTAGAAACAAAATTTTAAGCTGGATGAAAATATTAAAAGTGTTGCGCGTTTCCAAACTGCCAGAATTCGGTACACCTGAGCAAACGTACGAATATAAAGGTTTTTGCTTTTCCGAGGTAGGGGTAGGGTTGATAACAAATTGCTGACGCAAAATATCTTTAAACCTCTCAAAGATGTACCATTATCCGTGAGACAGGAAAGAGGTCGAGTTAAAATGATGCCTGCAACTTCTAACAGTACCAATTTTTGGATTCTCGGAATTTTCTGATAAAGATGTGGTGCTGCTAAAAATATATATACAAAAATATAAGCACGAAACTATGTATTTGTCACAAGAATTATCCACATAAGATGAAAACTACTGCAGTTTTATTTTATAAAATTAAAAAGGTATGTTTGCACCATGTATTGTCTTCCCAGAGAGTTTTGCTCCACATCGAAATTCGTGCTCTTTTATTTTCTAAGTGTAGCGAATAAAACTTCACACTTAAATTTAAGACATTCATAACAAAAATTTTATGAAGAAAATTCCCGCTACGTTCTCCCAAATATAAACTGGGACGCAAAATTGA